ATTATAGGTGCACACCACCACACCTAGCTAATTTTTGTATTTTTAATAGAAATGGGGTTTCACCATGTATCTTGTGACATTAAAATTATTACTACTGTCTCAGTAAAAGTTACCATCATATCTCAACTTGCATCTCAGCTTTCACTGTAGCAACACTACTTAATCAGACTCTGATAATAATCTTTCTTGCCAACAATCAGTGCTCTATAAACTTCACCTAGGGTAATGATAGCATCACTCTTCCTGATCAGTATTCTTCAATGGTTTCCCATTGTACCTTGTATAAAACTGAAAATCTTTAACATGACCTGTAAGATCTCTAATGATCTGTCCACTGCCTACCTCACCTACTTCATCTCCCCAGACTTCCTCTCCCTTGTTACACTCCAGCTGCATAGCCTGCTATGAATAATATATCTAATTTGACTTGCTTCCTACCTAAGAGCCTTCTCATTTATCAGTTCCTCTACCTATAACCTCTATCCTAAAATATATACACAATGTACTGATAAAACAGATTCCAAAAATGTACTTAAAGAATGAGCCCATGTTACATATATTTGCAGGGGTTCTAGATTTTTATATCTTAATTTTCTGGAATACTACTATGGAATTTTTTTCAACAAAGCCTTATGGGTGAAGGAGGGCAAAGACAGCTTTCATCTGCCCCATGGGATTCAAGCCTCCCATTACCTTCCAAACACTGATGGATAAAGTAATAGATAAACATAGATGAATAAAGGCAATATAAATTATCTGAAGGTTATCTAGAAAATTATATTTTATAAGATTCAGGTCGTGATAACTAAAAGTTCCAGGTGACGCAGGTCTGAAGACATTCTTTGACAAATGCCAATTCTGCTAAATCATAGTAAAATAGATGATTTTATTTACTATACGAAACAATCATAGAGTTCCTGCAACCTGAGGAAAGGGACTGATCAAACTAGCATGTAGCATTCCTGACATAAATTGGCATTTGTGCACAGGCAATCTCAGCAATTGTCTTTTGGTGATGTAGCACAATTACAAGGCCCTCATAACAACAACAATAAAAAAATACAATGATTTAACTATGAGTTTAGACTAAGGCAACTGCTACACCAACAAGAAAAAGCATTATATACACCCCAGCCAAGCATAACTGCAACCATCGTCATGGACTGAATCAAAGTAATCTAGGATATACAAGACATGAGTTAGTCTCTTCAACGCAGCACAGCTTAAAGTTATGTTTATAATCACTATCAATCAAGTAAAAGGATAATCAATAGACTGAGCAAAGGAGCACTTTGGTAATCTTAAGTGCCAAGCACTATTTAAGCTCTTTACATATTATTAGTTCATTTAATCCTTTCAAGAATCCTGTGAGGTAAGATACTATTATTATCCTCGTTTTCCAATGAGGAAGCTGACACATGGAGAAGTTAAGCAGCTTGCCCAGAATATCAAAGCTATTATGTCACACATCCAGGATTCAAATAAAGACAGTTTGATTCCTGAGTCTATGCTCTTAAAGGACTACATTATATTACCTGATAAGGTAGCCATCAGAGGTTCTCGAAAAGGTCAGAACAGCTAAAGGCATCCAAAGGACTAAGAGTTTACTTCCAGATTAGAAATCTGGAAAAGATCAACAATCTGGAAAACTGAAATTGATCAACAGATTATAACCCCAAATCAGAGGGCATCAGCATAACATAATTAAATGCTGACATATGGGTTTCCCAGCAGCATCTTCTAAGACGAGGAAAATTCTATAGTAGTATTGCAGAAAATTAAGATACAAAAGTCGAGAAACCCTGCAAACACCACAAAGGGATCTATAAGTTAAGGGGGTCAAACTATTATTATAGCCAATTTAATCAGTATTTCATTAAGCACTTTCTATGTGCCAGGCACTGTGCTACTAACATGGAGTATCTTTTTAATCATCACAACTGATTAAAAAAAAAAGCAGTATTAGTCTTCACATTGTATGATTGGATAAATGAAAGATTCGAGATGCTAAGAAACTTGTTTTAGGTCACACGGCTATCAACTGGCAATTAGGATTCAAATCCAGGATGTTGCCCCCAGAGCCTTTGCTTTTCGAATCCAGGAGGTTGCCTCCAGAGCCTGTACTCTAGACTGCTTAAACTGTTGGGGACTATACGAAATAATCATACGGTTCCTGCAACCTGAGAAAAGGGACTGATCAAACCAGCATGTAGCATTCCTGAAAAATGTCCAACTGCCACCAGTAATAGGCCACTTGCAACACCCCAAACCATAGACCTGTCCTTTGAATTAGGTCACTTCATGATGAACCCCTCCATCGACTCCAATGGGGATGGCACCAGGTTCAAAAGGCTGAAAAAGAAACCTAGAGCCAACAAATAGTACTAAAAACCACCACGGTATTATATTGAGGGATTACATACAAGGGATAGAGACCAGTGGTGGCAGGCTGGGCAGGAGAACTGCCTTATGCACAGAAAAGGTCCAGTAGCAGTGGGCTGGACAAGATAACTACACAACCCAGTGAAGTTGAGAACACACATTCAGTCTGCCATACAGGGTCATTCTAATAGTATGCTTAAACTATTGCTATTAGGTAGGTTTACCATACAGTGATAAAGAGGTGAATCCAGAAAGTTCTATCTGGCTGTTAGCTAGATAAACAGAATCTTAACAGTTGTTTTAACAAAAGTATCATGCTCAGATGTGATGTAAGAAGGTGAAAAAAAGAGAACGGAGAAATTCAGGAATCTAATAATCATAAAATAACTAGCCGGGTGCGGTGGCTCATGCCTGTAATCCCAGCACTTTGGGAGGCCGAGGCGGGTGGATCACAAGGTCAAGAGATCGAGACCATCCTGGTCAACATGGTGAAACCCCATCCCTACTAAAAATACAAAAAATTAGCTGGGCATGGTGGCACGTGCCTGTAATCCCAGCTACTCGGGAGGCTGATGCAGGAGAATTGCCTGAACCCAGGAGGTGGAGGTTGCAGTGAGCCGAGATCGTGCCATTGCACTCCAACCTGGGTAACAAAAGCGAAACTCTGTCTCAAAAAAATAAAATAACCAAATGGTGGAAGGCTGTACCTTCTGTATAGCCTTCAACTGTACTGAAACAGTTGATAACACTACCCGTATACAGATGTAACCCAGACAACCTACAATCAATTCTGATTGGCTAGCTTACCAGCTGAGAAAAATCTAAATGCTAGTAAAAGAGCTGGCTAATGAATGCTGCCTTTCTGCCCTGAACCCAGTTTAAAATATCACGGCAGAAGAGGAAGTAATCTCTCATCTAGGATGTGAGGAAAATAAAGCAAACCAGAGGATAAAGAAACCTTACCCATGTTCAGTGGCCTCTGAACTGGCTGTTTCACCCCAAAGTCAAGGAGGCTCATATTCGGCCAAACAAACTAGAGGTCCCACCATTTAATGAAGGAAGGTGGCACTGGAGTGGAGATGAGAGTATTGGTATAAACTAACAACCTTTCTCAAGGGCAACTTGACAATACGTATCAAATAGAATTTTTGAAGTATATATACATTGACTCAGTAATTCCATTTCTAATTTATTCTAAGTGAATAATTAAGGGTGTAAGAGACTTGGCTATAAGGATGCTCATCTGTGATATTTATAACATTAAAAGGTTGGGATCAACAAAAATGTACAACAAAAGGGTACTGATTAAATAAAGTGAAGTAAAACATGCATACAAAAGAATTCTGTTGAATCATTTAAAGTATTATAGAATGATTACTATGAAAAAATATCCATAATATATTATGTGAAAGACAAATTATAAAGCAGCATATATAGCATGACACCATAATTTTTAAAAAGTTTTTATATACATATCAAAAAACTAGATGGTGATATAAATGTTGAAGAGGTTATTTCTGGGTGGCAAAACTGGGTGGTTTTAATTTTATTTTCATTTTATTTATATTCCCATTTTCCTACAATAAGCTTGTATTATCTACATTTATAATGCAATAGAAGGGGAAAAGCTGGCTATTTTAATAGTTTAATAAATAATAAATTAGTTCAAAATGCAATTAACTAGCAATCAACAAGCATCAATAACTGAAGCCAGATTCTATCAGAACCTTGTGGCTGCGAAGAAGTGCCAACGAAGGGTGAAAAACGTATTTTAAAAAGTCTGGAGATAAAATCCACCAACTTAAAAATATTGTCCACCCTAAGTTAGAGTGGAATATCTATTCAATATGTGTTTACTGCATGAATAACCCTGCAGTAATAGTAATAATAATCACAGCAATAGTAATAATAATCATTCAACCAAGCATTGCAAACAAGTACTGCGCTAAAAATTAAAAAACCAAACAACAACAACAACAAAAAAAATATGTGCTTCACTATCTTTCTCATTATTAAAAACTGTCAAGTTCAATTGAAAAATGAAGATATCTGTATTATATACAATGGTCATAAGTATGTCAATATGGTGTTCATTTCTACTTTCTTGCTCACAAGTTCTACTTTAGATAGCTAAGACATTACCTCAAAAGAGTTTAAAAAAAGGGAGAGAAAGATATATATAAGACACACACATACACAACATAAAAATAGCAATTTTAGGCCAGGTGTGGTGTCTCACGACTGTAATCCCAGCACTTTGGGAGGCAGAGGTGAGTGGATCACTGGAGGTCAGGCAGGGGTTCAAGACAAGCCTGGCCAACATGGCGAAACCCTGTCTTCACTAAAAATTTAAGAAATTAGCTGGGTGTGGTGGCGGGCGCCTATAATCCCAGCTACCAGGGAAGCTGAGACACAAGAATGGGTCGAATCCAGGAAGCAGAGGTTGCAGTGAGCTGAGATCACACCAATGCACTCCAGCCTAGGCGACAAATCAAGACTCTGTCTCAAAATAAGTAAATAAATAGTAATTTTATTTGGGGCAACAAGAGAGACCAAATTCCAGGTTTTTACCTAAATCATGTTCTTTATCATCTATCAACTATTTTCACTTCACTTACCTAGCAAAAAACAACTTCAGATCAGATGTGATAGCTCATGTCTGTAATCCCAGCACTTTGGGAGGCCAAGGTATGCCAATCGTTTCTAGCCCAGTAGTTCGAGACTAGCCTGGACAACATGGCAAAACACTGTCTCTACAAAAAAACACAAAAATTAGCCAGGCATGGTGGCATGCACCTGTAGTCCCAGCTGCTCAGGAGGCTGAGCTGGGAGGATAGCTTGAGCACAGAAGGCAGAGGTTGCTGTTATGAGCCATCAGCCTGAGCAAGAGAGCCAGACTGTGTTTTAAAAAAAAAAAAAAAAAGGAAGAAAAAGAGAGAAAACCCCACTTTATAGGGCTTATCCCTGTTACATTTTAAGTTTTAATTACTTTAATCATACCACCATTTAAATGCAAAGAAGTCAGGCAAGAAGGGTGGTAATGAAAAAACTTTGAGTTGTGAAGAAAAACTTGGTTTGAATCCAGACTACTATTTGCTAGCTGTGTGACTGTGAACAAGACACTTAACTTCTCTGGGCTTCATTTTCCCTAACAGTGCTATGGGAATATGAACCGCTGTGACAGTCCAACGCAATATTGGATGCAGAACAATAGCCACATTTTATTTTTCTTTCCTCAAGAAACAATGTTTTTTTTAAACTGAGGAGTAACTTTGGAACATGCAACTGTTGGTTGGTTATGGATGTGGTGGGGTTCTCCGAATTGGTAAGGTAAAATATGAACGCAAAGAATAGCACATAGCTTGGAGCAAGAAACTGGGATAAGGAAGCCAAGTGTAGATAAGCTACTTGCTGTAGGTTGTCATGTTTAAAACTCCTCCTGCTCCATTCAGTCTCCCCACTCTAGTTTTGTCCAGTCAAGCCTCACCTGTCATTCACTACCCCTTTCCAAGTAGGAAGAATATGCAGGAAAAAAAGTGGGGAAAAGCAAACAAGTGACAATGTATGCTCTTGGTGACTTCCTTCCTCTAAACTCTCACCTCCCTTCCTTTCCACTCTTTCTTATTCCTAGTAAGAACCTTTCTCAGAGTGATCCCTATGCATGTGAATGATCTGTAAAAAAATTAACTTAAACTGTAAAATTCCAACCTCCAAGATTCTAAAAAGGTACAAATGTCTTATTTGTTTCAATGTTTTCTTTGAACGTGCACATATTTCATCAGGTAAAGAAACCTTTGGGATTTTATCTTAAAACCATTTAAAGGCATAATCAAAAGGTTTGAGTATCAAACAAAAGCCACCTATCCATAACACATCCTGTTCACAAAAGTGTCCCAGAAACTCGATATAAACAAAATCCCTCTGTTTATTTCTAGGAGTTAATACTGTGGTTTTCTGTATCCAACAGTATGCCTTACATACCCGGGGTTATTATGTTTTCTTCCTCTACTCAAACAGAGCATCTGTTGCTAACATTAACACTGAAGTCCAAGTTATTCTCACAGACAAAAAAGCAGCTGGTCAAGCTAATCCATTTGTTGACTAGCCACCATCAACCCTCTGTAAGACTGTCTAGTTAACTTAACCTATACTGTCAGACTGTGTGAGTCAGAACTTCCAATCCTCTTTCTGTTAGAATTTAACAACTCTTCTCTGGCACCACCATGTGAATCATTTCTTACAGATACAAAAGCAGAAAGCATGCTTTAAAAGTAAAAATGTCTAGACTGAATTAAAGAAAAGAGAAAGTTACTTTGAGGTTGGGATTATTAAATTAATAACAATAGCTAACAAATAGTATTTTTGCATGCTAGGCACTGTTAAGTGGCTTTTAAAAATGAACAAGAGGTCGGCGCCGTGGCTCACACCTGTTATTCCAGCACTTCGGGAGGCCAAGGCAAGAGGATCACCTGAGGTCAGGAGTTTGAGACCAGCCTGGTCATCCTGGTAAAATCCCATCTCTACTAAAAACACAAAAATTAGCCAGGTGTGGTGATGGGCACCTCTGATCCCAGCTACTCAACCTCTTGAATCCAGGAGGTGAAAGTTGCAGTGAGCCAATATCATGCCATTCTACTCCAGCCTGGGCAAGAAGGACAAAACTTTGTTGTAAAAAAAAAAAAAAAAAAAAGAACATAATCTTCACAATAATCTTGTGAGATAAGCACAACTGTTATCTCAATTTTACAGATGAAGAAATGGAAACACAGAGCAAACTACCCCCGCTCATATAGCTTATAAACAGAACTGGAGACCTGGCTCCAGAGCCATCCTCTTAATAATGTAAAGCCCAAATCCCAATGCCTAACAAACATTCAGGCATATATTCAGGTCTTCCTCACACTCTGCAGTACCTATTTTTATTATACTCTATTGACTGAAGTACTACCCTTGCTCCTATTTTCAATGTAGATTCCAAAACAAAAAAATAGTCTCTAAAAATTATGTCTGGGGTATACTACTGTCTTATTTAAAGAGAACAATATCCAGCTTAGATCATTAGAATCTGAGACTTGTAAGTGATTCTGCGGCAATTCATATATGAAAAGGAAGCTCAGGTTCACAGCACTAAATTGATTATGCACATTAGCACCAGTTATTCTTTTTGTTTTGTTTTGTTTTTTGAGACAGAGTTTTGCTCTTGTTGCCCAGGATGGAGTGCAATGGGGTGATCTTGGCTCATCGCAATCTCAGCTCATCGCAACCTCCGCCTCCCGGGTAGCTGCGATTACAGGCATGTGCCACCATGCCTGGCTAATTTTGTATTTTTAGTAGAGATGGGGTTTCTCCATGTTGGTCAGGCTGGTCTCAAACTCCCGACTTCAGGTGATCCGCCCCACTCGGCTTCCCAAAGTGCTAGGATGACAGGCATGAGCCACAGCACCGGGCCATGGACATTCTTTTTACAGCTATAAACCAAAGGTTTTGTTTTGTTTTCATTAGAAAGATTTGGTACCATCAATGAAATTCAACATATTTTCTAATATTGAAAAGTTGATTCTCAAAGATATCACTAAGATACATTAGTACTAATAACAAAGAGCAGCTAATTCTAGTACTCATACTTTATAAACTTTAAAATACTGTGTTTTCATAATAAATTATCAGATTTTTACTATAACACTAGAAAATACTCTTACTTCTGTATAGATGAGGAAACAGATCAATCACAGTTACGTGACTTGCTCCTTCCCACAGATCTAGTACACAGCATCCTGGAACCCAAGTCTCTGGACTTTGCTCCTTCACTTGACCTCTGCTAATGCCCATTCAAATATCATAACTTTTATCTAATAAGCCGAGAGACGTTTTATAAATTTAGGCAGAGACAATGTTTTAAACCTATTTTTTAACGCAATTTTTTAACATGTCTTACAAATAGTCGTGGAAATAAAAATTGAGCATAACAAGGTGAGTTTCGAGATTAACACATACAATGAAATCATGTGCATTTTTGTTAAATACTATAATAGTCAATGCTCAACACATCACACCTCTCTCATGCCCTCAGTGAAGTGATCCTCAAGAAGGTGAATCTAGACAAAATTGTAGAAAACGTTGCTCTAAGTCTTTCCGGTCCTAATAATAGAAAAGAATAGCCTCACAGATATGTCTTTGTTTTCCCTGCTGCATTATTAATACTTCTCTTTTCTTTCCTACCCCGTACTATCTTTCAATTACATTATAGTCTAACAAAGAGAACAGGGTGGTTATTTCCATATGGAGATCATGACTGAATAACTCTCACTTCTAACTGTATTCAAGACATTGGCTTTGTTCTCCAAACATTTCTTCTGAATCAAACCTTTATGATTATATAACCTTTCCTCAACTGTTCGGAAAGTATAAGTAACTGTGCCCAGCAACACTAACTGGTCAGACAGTGGGACGGCTACCCTAACAATTGAAGTCTTTTCCCTCCATACAAGGAACACTAAGACCTGCTTTGGAAAGTCTAGGGAAGGGGAGCGAGTGGGCGGTACAAAGGAGATTCGGTCCCCGACCAAGAGCAAGGTGCCGAGAGGAGACTTGGTCGAGAAAAAAGCCGCAGCTTGGGCGTCAGCAGGGAGACCCCAAACAAGGCTGCGCCTCGGTTTCCGCATCTGCTGAGGAGGGATACACCTCCACCAGCACGCGCGCATGCTTCAGGCAGCAAAATGGGCCTTGAGCGCTGCAGAGTGGCTGATTTTAAAAGACGGATGGCTCCCTGTTTCTCCTCAGGAGTCAGCATAGGGCAGAGGCCAGCCCGAGTTACCGGGCGCGGTCCCCGCAGCCGTGTGGGCGCCTCTTCGCTCCCGCCCAGAGAGCGGTCGGGGGGCCTCGCCCTCCGCAGCAGCAGCTTGGACGCCCGGCCCGGCCCGATCCGGCCGGACCCACCGCCCACCCGGGACAGGGGCCCCGCCCACCCTATGCCTGCGCGGCTCGTCCCGCTGGCCCCAGGATCCCCTCCCCCGCTTACTTTCTGGGCGTCCATGGCGAGGGGCTAAGCCCGCTGGGCCCGAACTCGCGACAACGAACCGTGCGAAGAGGCGCAGCGAAGTCGCACACCCCAAGACCGCTACTCACGCATTGACCCAGCCCGCACCGGCACCGCCCGGCCCCACCCGTCGCGCCCAGCCCGCGCGCGCAGCCGTCGCGCCGCGGTTGCCAATGTGAAAGGGCGGCTCGCAGAAGGGAGGGGCTGAGGAGCGTCCCGCGCCTGCGCGCAGCGGCTGACAGGACCCGGGAAGGAGTGGCGCAGGGTGGGGAGCGCCGCCCGTCTGCCTCCCGCTAGTGCTTCTGCAGCCTGCACTCCCTTCCCCCATCCTTTTTCCTCCAGCCACAGCGGTCTCTGCGGCCCTGAAATAGGCCACTGGGCATCCAGCAGCCGGCGGGTGGTGAGGGCACGGGAAGGAAAGAGTATCTGGTGCTAGAAGCCGATCAGCCCACCCTGCACCCCGCATGCATCTGAAGCTCCTCCCCACACTAGCCTTTGAGGCGCAGCTCCGATAGAGGGAACCCAGCGGTCCAATGAGAGGAAAAGGGCTGGGATGGGATGTAGCGAAAACGTGGGAAAGGGCCTTTAGGGGATGTAGTGGAAACGTGGGAGAGGGGATATAGGGATGAGAGTGGCGGAAACGTGGGTATGGGATTAATATGAGCTATGGGGCCTGGCACAGCTTTCCCAGGGACCCTCCCTGGCACCTTGCTACCTGTGTGATTTTGAGCAAGTTACTCTCCCTGAGGCTGTTTAATCCTCTGTAAAACGAGGGAAATAATGCGGACTTTGCAGAGGATTGTGAGGATTAAATAATGTATGGTATATAATTAGTACTGAGTAAATTATAATCATTCGCTTTTTTTTTTTTTTTTTTTTTTGAGACAGAGCCTCGCTTTGTCGCTCAGGCTGGGGTGCAGTGGTGCCACCTCAACTCGTTGCAACCCTCCGCCTCCCAGGTTCAAGGAATTCTCGCGCCTCAGCCTCCTGACTGGCTGGGATTACAGGCGCACCCTCCACACCTGGCTAATTTTTTGTACTTTTAGTAGAGACAGGCTTTAGCCATGTTGCCTAGGGTGGTCTCAAAATCCTAAGCTGAGGCAGTCCTCCCACCTTAGCCTCCCAAAATTTTAGGATTACAGGTGTGAGCCACTCTGCCTGGCCCGTTATAGTTATTGTTAGTGGGGAGTTAGAACCTGCTTAGTGTGACATGAGGCAACAATAAAGACTTTAGAAAGTCTGGCATTTAGTAGGCTTGAAAAAGTTCTTCCTCAAGCAGACAGGCCTCATGTTCCATTTGGATGACTCTGGAGAGGCTCACAAAAGTTCGATTGGCCAGTCATTTATGATGAATGCATAAAAGGGAAATATGTATTAAGTACTTATTCTGTACCAGTTCTAAAAACAGAATTCAGTAGTGGACAAGGCCCTGTTTCTCTCACATAGCTTACAATCCAGTAAAGGAGGCCAACCAAAAAAATAAAAATAAAAGTAATGTGCTAGGTGCTTATAGGTGCTACGATTAAAAATTAGGCCAGGCATGGTGGCTCACACCTGTAGTCCCAGCACTTTGGGAGGCCCAACAGGTGAATTGCTTGAGTCCAGGAGTTCGAGACCAGCCTGGGCAACATGGCAAAACCCTGTCTCTACAGAAATTTCTTTTTAAAAGTAGGTGTGCTGCTGCAAGCCTGTAGCCAGAGCCAATCAGGAGGCTTAGGTGGGAGGATCGCCTCGGTCCTGGAGGTGGAGGTTGCAGTGAGCCCAGATCATACCTCTGCACTCCAGCCTGGGTGACAGAGTGAAACCCTAGTTCCTACATAAATATATAAGGCAAATTGATTCAGAAAATTAGAAAAGTTTAGTTTTCCATAGAAACATCAGGGAAGGTCTCTCTAGGAAATGATCTGAGTATAAAATGAGAAGATGAATTGTACAAGAATCTAGGAAAGAACATTCTAGACAGAAGGAACAACAAGTACAGAGGCCTCGTGGAGGGAAGGAGTTCTGTGTTTGAGAAACAGCATTTATTCTTCAATGTTGTCGTTACGTCTCCACATGGACTCCTCTGACTATACTGTGATTTTCTTGAGGGCTGAATTTCTTTTACCCCATATCTACATCCCCAACTCAGAGTCTGCCACATAGTATGCACTTAATATATCCTTTTTAACTGGACAGAGATATACAAGAAATGAAATGAAGTTTGCCAAAGGGAAAAAAAGCTTGGTTAAGGCTAGGTGGGTAGTGCTTAAAAAGCCAGGGTCCAGGGTGGGCCTCTGTGCACCAGCTGAAAGGAGTAGTGGCATGCAATCCTGCAAAGACATACCCGTCTCTTGGTACCAAGAAAAGAGAGCCTCCTATTCAACCCTTCTCAATTCCATGTGGAACAGCAAATGCAGCCAGGTGCTCAGCCATTAGCCCACTGCTGCAGCCACAAAGGTCATTCTCCACACTGTGTACTGCAGCTGAGTCAGTTTCCCATGTGGGAGAAATGCAGCCTGGGGATTGGAGAACATCTAAAGTCTAATCACCAGACTGCATGCTTCCTGGCTCTGCCCTGCCTGCCACTATGGGACCCACCACTAAGAGGAGGAAACAGGGCTTGGCGATGTTCCCACTTCTCTTGCTGCAAGGACTTTGCCTCATTACTGTCAGAGGGCAATTCCTGGGCACTTTATAACTGACAGGTACCACAGGAGAAAGAAGAAAGAGGCTTTTGGGGACAGTGAGTTGCAGCTGAAATGTGATCACCAGACACTGTCACAGGGCCACACCCCAGGAGCTCACTCCTGGCTCCTTGCCTCCAGCTTGCCTAATTCCTTCCCTGTAGCCCAGCCAGGAGACTGCAGCTTTTGACAACATCTCTGCCCCATTTGACTTCTGCCCTCGTCCGATCTCCGTCTCTGGCCAGTCTGGCTTTCAGCTCATCCTGGGCCTTTTGCTTCCCCTCGGTCCCGTCCGGAAACAGCTAGCTCCTTCTGATTGTGACTTCTGTCATCCCTAGTTTATGCAAGTTCTTCCATCACAGCCACTTACCAAGCTGTGCTCTAAATCTGCCTCCCAACCCTTCCCAGTATCTCTGACCTATAGGCAAGTCCTTTGCCTTTTCTGTACTTATTTTTTCGCAGCCAAATCCATTTAGAAATTTTCAGTGGTTCATGCCTATAATCCCAGCACTTTGGGAGGCCAAGGCGGGTGGATCACGAGGTCAAGAGATTGAGACCATCCTGGTCAACAAGATGAAACCTCGTCTCTACTAAAAATACAAAAATTAGCTGGGCATGGTGGTGCGTGCCTGTAGTCCCAGCTACTCAGGAGGCTGAGGCAGGAGAATTGCTTGAACCCAGACGGCGGAGGTTGCAGTGAGCAGAGATCGTGCCATTGCACTCCAGTCTGGGTAACAACAGCCAAACTCTGTCTCAAAAAAAAAAAAAAAAGAAATTTTCAAAAGTAGTTTAGCAAATCAAATAAAGCATTTGTTTTTAAATGTGATCCCTGGACCAGCTGAATCCACATCACCTTGTAACTTGTAGGAAGTACAAGTTGTCTGGCCTTATAACTGGATCAACTGAATCAGGAACTCTGGGAGTAAAGTCCAAAAATCTGTGTTTTAATGGTTCCTCCAGGTGATTCTGATGAATGTGAAGCTTGAAAGCCATGGAACTGAGAGAAAGCAAATCATTTACAAAAATAAGGGGGCCGGGGGAGGATTTCAAAGGCATAAAAATATCACTTCGAAACCTAGGTTTCTGATTCTTAAAAAGCCTATCTAGTCATAGATATTTATCCAGTTGAGGTTTCTGGGACTCCAGGAACCTCTTTCTGAGGAAATCTCAAGTTAGAATAGCTTCATAGAGAGGCTGATTTAGAGTGTCTGGGAAAACTGTCCCTCCCAGAACCAGGTTCCTTATCCTCTCTGAGTGCTGCCAGGTGTTGCCTGCAGCCCTGTGCTGCCTCGTATGTTCCGAGATTCCCCCATCTCTTAGGAGAGAAATTTCTTTGCTTTCAGTGTTGCCAGCAGTCTTTCCCTTTGGGAGTCAGTATAGGGCCATAGGCATGGAGTCAGCAGTCTGAATCTAAATCCAGATGCTGCTGCTCACCAGCACCATGGCCTTCAGTGAGTCACTTAACCTTGCTAAACCTCAATTTCCTCATCTGTAGCATAGCGATCAGAATAGTAGTAATTCCCTTTTAGGGTTGCTGTGAGGATTAGAGGAGATTATGTAGGTCAAATGCTGGCTAGTATTATTTAACAAGTGGTAGCTGTTACTAATAATTACTCTCTTACTCATCATGTCCTTCTGTTTTACCCTTGCACAGCTCTTTTTCCTTCTGGATCTTTAGGGTCTTAGAAGACCTATTCTCACCCCAACTCCCCTTTTCCCTGTTATACCTGTTTTTTTTCTGAAGCATAGTCACTAGTCAAATGCTGCCCTTTGTTGAAGCCCCAAATCTTTGCCCATTGCTCCCTGCTACTGTATCTGGCCTGAGTCTTAGCATTTGCTACCTAGCCTGGGAAGACTCCAAGGCCTCTCTAGGTCTCAGTTTCTTTATCTGTAAAATAGAAATCGTAAAAGTAGCACCTACAAGGGTTGTTGAGTTGTGGATGATATAATTCATGTTAAATTTTGAGCACAGTACCTGGCACATAGTGAGCATTCAAAATATATTAGCTATTATCATCTCTTTCCAACCATAAAAACCTAATTAATTCTGATTTTTTTTTTTAACAGAGACATGGTCTTGTTATGTTGGTCAGGGTAGTCTCAAACTCCTGGCCTCAAGCAGCCCTTCCACCTTGGCCTTCCAAAGTGCTGGGATTATAGGCATGAGCCACCATGTCTGGCCTTGTTTTTCCTGCCCTCTTCTGACTAAAAACCAAACTCACCCCAAATCCCTGGAACCCCTTGGAAGTCAGAGCAAAAATTTCTGATCCTAGGCACTCATTATAGACAGAGTCTCTTAGGAAGGTGATATAGTTTGGCTGTGTCCCCAACCCAAATCTCATCTTGAATTGTAGCTCCCACAATTCCCATGTGTTGTGAGAGGGACCTAGTGAGAGGTAATTGAATCATGGGGGTAGATCTTTTCTGTGTTGTTCTCATTATAGTGAATAAGTCTCATGAGATCAGATGGTTTTATGAAAGCGAGTTTTCCTGAACAAGCTATCTTTCGTCTGTTGCCACGTAAGATGTGCTTTTCACCTTC